GAAAAAAAAAAAAAAAAAAAATTGGAGAGAGATTAATTTAGAGCATTTAAATAGTAAGACTTAATCTACTTAGTCCAAAAATAGACATATAATAAAAGAAAATTTTTTTAAAAAAAATGGGGTAATAGTTCATGTGAACAATGGCATTCCTGTTCATGTAAACAGCACAATCCTAATATTATTCACGTAATTTTTTTTTTATAGTTATATGTCTATAGAACCGATTTAAACTCGTGCTCTAATACCAACTGTGATGACCCAAGTTCTAAAATTTGAGTGCCACTAAATATTTATTTTGAACATAAAAAATGCTTTCTACAGCTTAAAATCTTATTGAATGCCATTAAAAATTTGACATCAAATAAAAATATTTTCTAAATATATAAACAAAAGGAATAAGTTCTTAAATAAATAAACATGGCCCTGGTGGGTATTTTTTTCACTTGTCACTTCGCCAACCCTCTCATGCCTTAATTCTCACGAACCATTAATTTCTCGAAAGGGGTATAAAGAGCGGAATGAGATATAATCTCAATAAGCATATAAATACATAAATTAATATTGTACAAAATTTAAGGAACTTCATGCATACATATATATAAAGTTAGACACGAAAATCTGTATCGAACATAAGTGGTATTGAATTTTCATGTGTAGAGCTACTATACTCTGGTCCAAACATAGAACCCACAAAATAACCTCATAATCGATGTTTTAAAAAATATAACTTATGCGTCATCCCATAAAATACTTATACACTTTCCTATATCTTGTAAAAGTGATAAGAGAAATATTTGAATATATATGGAACTTGAATCCTTGACCAACGAACTAATGAATATACGATATTTATATTTGTATTTATTTTGCAGAGAAATGAATGTATTAGAAAATGGAACATATGATACCAATTTATAGGGACCACAATGTTTTGAGAGTTCTGAGTTCTGATTCAATTGAACTTTTAATTTTTAAAATGATAAAATCTTATAATTATCTTAACTATATTTCGGTTAATAGGATAAGATTATGAATTTAAAATTAAAAAAAAATCTCCATAATTTCTAAAATTAAATAAAGTAGAGATAAAATCAAAATATATAAAATTAAAACATTATCTCTATTATTTAATTAAAATGAAATAAGATTTTAATCACTTAGGCTTAAGCCCAAAAGGAAAAATAAAACAAAAATTTGTGGGCTATCATTTCATGTATTGAATTTTCATGTAACTGACGTTGTTAAAATATTAATTGCATTCTATTTTTTTTAATAATGGGCCAAACCTAAATTAATAGAATTAGGCCATGGGTATGTGTATTATTACACTTGAAGCGTGATAATATTCGATTCTAATACAAGAATTTCCAAACAAAAATTTCGTAAAGACGGTTCTATTAAGGAGGTATATACTCTTAATGAATATTTAGGTATAATAAATTATAAAACCCCAAAAGAGGTTCAGGTACATGATATATTGAAAATTGAGATATTTCAATAAATTATGTCATTATAGAAAACAATGGAATCGAAAAAGAGAAAGTTGTCGACAACACTTTGCACATGATATACTGTATCATATAGCAAGGAGAAATAAATGCGTCGAAATATATAAATCAAAATATTGATTGAGCAAATAAAATGAACGCAATCCTAAATTAAATTTATTGGAGAAACCTAAAGTTTCTAGACTTATAGTTTGAAAATCTAAAGCTGTATATTTATGCTAAATGGAAATAACAAAAATGACGTCGTAATATGTAATGCATGACTCATCATAATAAATTTTGCAAACATTATGGTGGATGAAATCATGAATCTATATCATGTTATCTTAACGATGCATGAAATTTGAAATACATGATAGTCAACTCATCTGCGATGACTATAAATGTTATCCCTAAAGGATTTAATATGTCTAAAGCATAATTCAATTGATATATCAGGAAGGAGAGTAAATGTGCATTGTGTTCTTTTTTGTTGATCAAGATTTTGTCCAACTGGGTTTTCTTTTAACGAGACAACTTTTGTGGCGTACTCAAATGAATAAATAAACTTTTTTTGCTTCATTTGGATTTTTTCCATAAGGTCTTTTCCTAATAAGGTTTTAATGAATTTTTATTTTTTTTCGTGTTTTATATAATGAATATCCATAACTTAAATGATCTTTAGTCTTAAAATAATGATTTTGTATGTATTAGACTCTTGAAGAGACCAGCAAGAACTATTTTTTTAATCATTATGTTACTACAGTCATCAAGTTTTGCCCTAATAGATTTTCTTCAAGACATTAACGTACAAGATATCAATATTGAAGATATTGACATACAAGATATGGATCGCTTGATAGAAGAATTGAAATAAGGTGGAGTAATTGTACTCTTTTTTCAATCAAGTTGTCTAATTGGATTTTCTTAACAAGGTTTTAACGATGCAGCAATTAATTTGCATGTTTCACTTTTGTGACAATTGCACTTCGTCTGTATATATCTATTGAATCTCCTGTGCTTGAGCATGTCAAATCTGTTCTTCCATTATAGGATCAAACTCATCAACCATATCTATCAATTGCAAAAATGTCCATTGTTCTCAATATAAAGTTGCTCACACTCTCAACGAAATGCAAAGTATTTTTAACGAATTTTTTCATAATAGCAATTATTCTCATTTAACACTTATTTCCAATGCTCTCCTTCTTTATTAATGAACAATTGTATGCTTTCATAAATTGTATGTTTTATTTGAAACCCATTTTCCAGTTCCATCCAATTAATCATGCAACCTAATGCTCTTTAGACACTTCATGATTTGTAAGATGCCAATGGACATTATACCAATCATTGTATTCGTCATTACCCAATTGAACAATATTTTGCATCATTTTTCTGTCTTAAATAACTTGCAGCAAAAACAAAAGATTTTATCCAAAGAAATTGAATACCCTAGCCATTTTCTAATAGTTGTCTATCCATTTAACATTAATCGCTTATATTGTGATGACTTAAAATGTCTACCTTGACTATCTCTGTGAAATAATATGTCATCAACTGTTTTTAGACCCATTTCAACTAAAAAGTCCATTATCTTTTGATCAATGTGAATGCCCTCCCAATTTTTAGGATCATTAAAATTTAAAGAAAAGCAATTCTTTTGATTTAACTCTTCATTTTGAACATTATTTTCATCATGATGTTTTGACTCATCCATATTGGCAGATTCAATCACTTCCTTGTTCTATTTCCATTTATCCACGTGATCATTAACTATATCATTCTGATTTTGTTGTTCCTCAATCATTAAATTTTCTGGTGATCCTTCCTTCTCCTTTCTTTTCTTGCCATTAAAGTACTTATCCATATATCCAGCTTGGTTTCGAATTAATGCTATTCTTTCCCTCTTCTTCCTGGTTTGAGCTCCCGACACATATTTAGGAGCAATGGTATTTGACTTAAGTCTCTCAACAACTAACACTTACTGAAACTTGAGAGTAAAAGAGGCTCAAATTAGTTTAAGAAAGAAAATAAAAATTGATGACTCAATCACGATTCATAGCTGATAATAAAAGTACTCAACTTGCTGTTAATATCAACCATAATTCACAGTTTATCATCTCTAGAGTTTTAGATGCTCACTTGCTGTTAAAGATGGCAGGATTATGATGAATTTCAAATTTTTGTAACCGAAAATTGGAATGCTAGAATATATATTGTTGTTGATCACTTCACTTGCTGTTAAATTACTTCAATGGCAGGATTAAAGGATGAATTTCAGAATTTCATTCACCAAAAGCTAGAATGCCATACACTTCAAAGTTCAAGTCTTCAATAATCAGGATATTGCAAAAAATAGACAAAGAACCCAATTTGAATCTCGCCCAAAACAAGAAAACGAATTAATAACAAAAGCAGCACATCATCAGCCGTCAACGGTCGGATTTTGGGGAAAATAAGACTTACCAACGATTCCAAAAATAGACGAGAGATGTCGTGGCTGTTGAGTCTGCTATAGCCCATCACCAATCGAATTTTGGAGAAGTTGAGTTGCAAAATTACATAGTAGAGCCGAGATCGAGTCTACAGTGCCTAGTGGTGGCAAAAGGGTCGAGCCGCTCGTCGGCTCGTCGAAATAGGGCTCGTGGGCGGCTTGGGCTCATAAAATTATGAGCCCGAGCGCGAGCCGAGTAGACCTTGTCGGGAGGCGAGCCACTTTGAAACGAGCCACGAGTCGCTCAGCTCGTGGCTCATTATAATTAAGTGACCGTTTGGTCACTGAAACTTTTCGATCATTGAAAAATTTTCAATTTCGGTCACTTAGTTTTTATTTTTTATTTTTTTTCCCTTATGCTATAAATACCCTTTAACTCCCTCTTTTTTTTCAAATCAATTACTCAATCACTACTTCAACTCTCTCAAGTCTCAACTCTCTTATCGAGTTTTTACTCTCTTGTGCTGTAAAATATACAATATCAATTCAATTTTTACAGTTTACTATTTACAATTTCA